AGAATTACAACTTGCCACACAGACTGGATGAAAACAGAAAACACTAGTGTTGTCTCTTTCTCCTCGCTCTTCTTTCTTTTTTTTCTAATTATTCTTATCACAGCTACCAAGTCTGAAATCTAATAAATTATATATACATATATATATATATAGTATTAAAATAATTATCAACTTTAAGTAGAACTAATAAAGTAAGGGAATTTCCAGAACAAAATTATCTTTCCTCATTTTAAAAATTAAGTTTTAATGCTTTCTTAAAAGGAATCCATACAGAGATAAAGCATACAGTATCCAGAAAGACCTGTTTCCCATCCTAACTTACAGAAAGCATATTTCTAAAAGGGACTTATTAAATAATCTTGATAACTGCTATATAATATGACATGAATGATTTATAACAAATATTTTCACTTACCCGATTATAAAGCTGTGTATACATAGTCATAACAAAAATGAAGGCAGCATGAATACACCCCAGTGGTGCTAAAAGGAGAAACAGTGTGAACGAAGCATGATTTTGGTAACCACAACAGTTGTTGATCCAAGGACAGTGATGGTCCATCTTCATCACACATCTAACAAGAAAAGTTTACATAAAACATGAAGCAGAAATTTTGGTCTACTTTAAATAACTTTGGTCTTCAAGAGATCAAACAAACAGGAATCCAGCACGTCCATGAGTGACCAATGAATTTTACTTCATGGAGCAAAAACAAAGATCTTTATGAGTTTTTGAACAACTCTGAACAGTGACTTCTTTTAAATTCTAAACAGTACAAACAGGCTTCATTACAGCTTCTGAGGAAAAGATGTCTGCTTTCATTATAAAGAAAAAGAGGTTCTTGGTTTTCCTCTAGCTCTGAAATGCTGTGACAAGTGGAGTACGACAGAGACTCAACAAAATCACTTACAGATGTATCTCCACTAGGGTTAATGGCACCTAGCAGACGCTTGTAACTTCCTTCCTTCCTGATCTCACCCTTTAGTTGTGGGATCTCTGAGCTAAGGAAGCTAACTATGGGATATAAGATATTGTATAATAAGCAAAGTCTTACTGAGCTTCCTTCCCTTGTGCTAGAAGAAAACTTCCTGGCCTCAAACCAAACTTTATCTGCCTCCAATCTTTCCCCTAAATCTCAACATTCTCATCATAAATTTCTTATTAGTGGATATTGCTGTTCATTTAGAAAGATTCTAGCTTGTTTCACATTTTTATGGTGAACCACTTTTCTTCCCATTGACATTTTAAATTAAACATGTATGATAATAGGCACCTGCACTCACTTATTAGATATGCATAAAGCATAAAAGTTAGTGAACTCAATAATGGAAAAAGCAGGTCTCCTTTATAATTTAGACTCAGAACAATTCTAAAGCTAGTCAAGAGAACAGTTGATAAGAACAATTAATCCTGATCTAAGGAAATAACATGAAGACAAAACTTTGTACCCTATTTTAGGCAAGGCAAGAAACAAAATAAATCTGTATTTTTCTAGAAAAATCTTTTGAAAAAAAATGAGTTTTACTTATTAACAGAATAACTTAGGAGTAAAATGGAGATATGGACACTTAAGTATGTTGACAGTATTTTTTATAAAGTAGCCATCTTACAGAGAATATAACTAGGATTGAGGTGGTAGGAGGAACAACAAAAGACCAGCAATCAAGTTGATCAGTCCCCGGTGAATAGCAAAGACAGACAATACCTGTTACATTTTCTGCAGTGATGTGACCGAGGTGCCTTGTATGCTTGGCAGCCTTTACAATACTGGAGGTACATGCTATCCTGAGAATTTTCCTTGGCAGCAAAATATAAACAAAAATATATCAGATATCTAATCCTAAGTAATAACAAGTCAAAACTTATGAATAAATACTTTCCTATGGTTTGATTTTCTTTTATGGGGGGTGGGAGGACAGAATCTTAACTGTATTGCCAGCCCTTTCATTTGAGCTAAAATATTTTTAAGTAATGAATTTCTAGTTAACAGCACTAGAAGTCATTTTTAATTTCTCATCCTCATGCTCCACCCAAATCCACTGTCACCACATATAGTTGGTCCTACTTATCCAAAACCTTAGGAGAATGGGAGGAATTCAGAAAAAAGGTAGCTGACAATTTGGCAGGCATTTTATAGAGTGGTGATTCAAACTTCAGACTTGATACTCTTTAGGAAATAAGGCCCCTTTCTTGGAGCATTTTAATTACTTCCAAATTAGCATCCTTTACTGTAGTTTCTTTTTGATTCAAACTATTGTCAGATAATAATCCTGTAACACAACTCTGGTTAGTCAGAGCTGTGCTTGAAAACCTCTAATAATTCCCTGTGGCCTAAGCATTTCTCATGTATGTGAGGCCTTCCATAAGCTGCCTTTGTTTCAGTCTAACCTGCTCTATATACCTGTCCGTTGAGAAACAAAACACATTCCCACAATTCTCTCAACCTGAAATGCCTTCTTCCCCATGTCCTGCGGAAATTTCTATGCCTCTCCTAGGCCGCAAGCTGAAAATAATTAGCTCCTTCTAACTTCAACGGCATTCATCACATTGAATTCCATAGATTAGTTATCTGTACAAGTGCTTTGGTTTCTCTCCTCAGATATAAGGTTTTTCAGATTATGAATTGTGTCTTACCCATCTCTATACCCACTTTAAATAGTACAATAGTGTTTCTCCAACTTTAATTTACCTAAGAATCACCTCAGGGATTTTGTTAAATGCAGGCTCTGATTCAGTAGGTCGAGAGTGGAGCCCAAGATTCTGCATTTCTAACAAGCAACCAGGGGATATCCCTCAGCAAGGAATGTGGAAATTCATAAGCATAAACTTTCTAGAATTTTTAAGAGCCATAAATTGATTCATAATGTACTTCCCAATGTTATGATTTCACTGCAATGATTTTAAAACTTAATGATTTACACCAGCAGCTTCTCAAGAGATTTTTCTCAGTTCTGAGGGATGTTAATATATTACATAATAAAACATCCTAGAGCTAAACCACACTGCAAAATTATGAGAGCTGTATGATATGCACTGTCTCCTAAATTTATGACTATGAACTCACCACCACTCCTTTTTTTTTTTTTTTAAAGCAGGACAAATATTCAATAAAATTGCATTGGGAAATAATTTAGGATAATATTTTCAAACAGGTATGAAATTACTTAAGCTTTAAATGAACATGCTTAGTGCCTACCAAGGCAAAAAAGTAGGCAGTGTTTGATATAACTGGTTAGCAGGTAAGGTAAAAACTAAATATACGATTATCATTAGAGTTCATCATCTTAATGGATCTTTTTCTTACTGGTTTCCACCCCAGAGGGACAAAGCCAGGACCAACAAACATGGCATTGAAGTAATTATAAAGAATCATGACAGTCCAATTGATCAGCATGATGAAATTCACACTCCCTCCGGTTGTATGTAAGGGCCAATACCACAACACAGAGTCAATCATGGCCATCGTAGAACATACTGCTATAACACCAAGGGCTATGATGGGACCCCAGTGACACAGTCTCTTTAATTCTTGGAGATTCTCAAACTTGATAACTGAGCAGAGTGCACCCATTCTGGTTAGGAAGTATGACTTCCTACTTTTAAAGAATCACAGATTTCCTTTTTCTGTGCACACATCGCCATGTGCATTGGGTCCTTGTGTTCCTTGACTGTCATGCCTTCAAGTTGCGGGATGCTAATGCCAAGTATGCCATTTTCACTGTCATACACTCAGAGCTCTTTGTCATAACTAGGAGAATCCAGTATCTTGGTTTGAAGCCCAAGCTAAAAACCAAAAACAAAATGAGAAAGTTTAGTGAAAGTTTTATTGTATACTATATTGAACTTCAAAGATCACCCAAAACAAAAGCATCTCACAAGTGCACTACCATGGGATCACATGCCAAAATAGTTGTCTTTATTCCTTTATTCCCAATTTGTCAGGGGACTGTGTCCAAATTTAGAGAATTGTTTGAGGAGGCAAAGAATTTTAGAGCTGGGAAGTGGGGCTTTAGGGTTGATCTAATCCAGCTTCCTTCTTCATAGAAAAGAAACTGCCTTGGGAAGATAAAGTGATTAGACCGAGGTCACGAGTAACAGCCAAGCCCAGAAGAGAAACCAAGTCATCAAACTCCCTTTATGCAATTGTAAACTACCTCTGAGCGAGTCCCGAATAAAGTTCAAGTACTTCGTCTACATCGTCTACAACATCTGCCTGTGGTTGCCCCCAAAAACCAACGTAACAGTCTATTTGGTCCAGAGGTCAAGAAGAGTGAGAGTGAAAGCATTGAGAGAGTGCAAGGAAAAGAAAGGAAGAGAAGGGGGGAGAGAGGGTGTGTGTGAAATCACGACGGAAAACTTACACGAGAAAGAGTGAGAAAAAAATGAAGGGGAAGTGCTCCCGGAGCGAGGGACTGGGAGACAGGGCGGAGAGCTCCGGGAAGGTAGGTAGGAGGGTTATTTCTGGCCTTCAGTGAGTCCAGGTGAGATCTGAGGCAAACGGTAATAAAAGATGCCGCTGCCTTGTGCCTCAGTTTCCCGCCCGTGCCATAGGAGCAAAACGCTGAAAAATCCTCACTCGGGGGAGGAACATCCTGGCCAGCAACCAGTGGTAGGTCTCAGTATTCTGGGGATTCTGGCCTCACTCAGGTGGGGCGATGACCACCAACACCACGGTTAAACCCCCTGCCTCGACTCCCACCTCAGTCGGCTCCTGGGCGCCCGCTCTTGGCCATGGCATTTCCGGGGCGGCCTGGGCTCACCCGGAACAGGTATTCTCCTCCTCGGATAACTCCGTCGTGGGTACCTCAGTCCAGCGCCAGCAGAAAGCAAATCCCGGTTGCCAGAGGCGGGAGTGCCCAGCCTGCCACCACCCGCCGCCTCTCCGCCAGCACTCCCGCCGCCGCTCCCGGGCTCAGGCGCGGAGCGCGGGGTCCGTGACAGGTACTTCCGGGAGGTCTGCAGCACCAAACTTCCCCCGGGAAGCAAGCTCCCCTGACCTGTAGCTTGGGGAGCCAGGGCCACCTTCCAGAACGTTGGGGGGTGTGGGTGGGGCAAAAGTATTTTCAATCATGTTTTCAGCGTCTTTTGGGGAACACTAGCAGTAGAGCTTTTCCTTAGCAAATTTCTTCTTGAAGCCAGAGCGGAAAATAAAAATCGCATACAGCCCTATATCCGGAGGACCGAGACTGCGACGAACAATCAGGAAGCGACCGGGCCGGGAGCTGTCCCAGTTCTCAGCTTGCTCTCTAGGGCGCGTCCCGGGGTTCCTCAACACTGTGTTCCTCTGCCCGCCGTGGTCCGTACCTCGACCTAGGCTCCAGCCCGGACCAATCACTCTGGGGCCGCCATGTCGTCCGACTTCGAAGGCTACGAGCAGGACTTCGCGGTGCTCACTGCAGAGATCACCAACAAGATTGCGAGGGTCCCCCGCCTCCCGCCTGGTGAGAACCTTGTCCGGGCGGGGCGGGGTTGCCCGGAGAGGCTGTGGCTGGGGGGCGGTGGAACGCCGCCTGAACGAGTGTCTCCGAGGCCGGAGGCTGGAGTGAGGTGGTGCCGGGGCCCTCCCGCAGGGACAGACCCTCAGATTTAGGGTAAAGGGAGAGTCCCACCTGTGGGCGCAGTGAAAAGAACCTTCGGAATCAGCCATCTGAGCTCGAATCCGGACTCCACTGCCTTGTTACTTGCATAAACTTGGGAATGTTTCTCTGATTCTTAGTGGGTTTTTTTTTTTTTTTTTTGTAAAATATGGAGATGTGAGTATTCAGAGAGAGTGAATGAACGTATCTAGATCATGGATCTGCAGTGTACACCAACGTTGCTTTCTTAGTAATAATGTTATTATATGAAGCAAAATAGGGATAAGAGTCTTGATTAGGGTAAAGGGAGAGTCCCACCTGTGGGCGCAGTGAAAAGAACCTTCGGAATCAGCCATCTGAGCTCGAATCCGGACTCCACTGCCTTGTTACTTGCATAAACTTGGGAATGTTTCTCTGATTCTTAGTGGGGTTTTTTTTTTTTTTTTTGTAAAATATGGAGATGTGAGTATTCAGAGAGAGTGAATGAACGTATCTAGATCATGGATCTGCAGTGTACACCAACGTTGCTTTCTTAGTAATAATGTTATTATATGAAGCAAAATAGGGATAAGAGTCTTGGTGCCTGGATTCAAATCCTAGCTCTGCCACTCAGAAGTTGTCAAGCAAGTTTATTAACCTCTCTCAACTTTACTTTTTGGTAAAATGGGAAAATTGTACATCTCTCATAGAGTTTTTATGAATTTTATATGATCTACCATCTGTAAAGCATTTTCTTGATATTAGCTGCTATTATCGTTAGTATTTTTCATATTCCTAACCCCATTTCTCATCCTTTTTGAGAGTCAATAACCCAATGTAATGTAAAAGTGTCATTTTTAAAATTTCACAACCCTATCTAGAAATGGTTTGTTTTTGTGTTTTAGCACTTCTTAACTTTCTGTGCTATACTGTCAACTATGGAAGTTGGGAGTTGGGAGGTGACAGTTGTGTCTGATTTCCTTGGCATTTACTTAGAATGGGCTCAGAAAAAGGTTCAAGTAAACACACAGATGAATACAGATGTAATGTGATTTTTGTTTGTAAGACATTTTAGGATTTACTCTTCTCTAAACACAAGTTAATTCAAGTAGTTAGTTGCAGCTAAGATTGTTACATTTTGGCTTAATTTTGTTAGAGAAATTGAACCATCAGGGACTTGGCCCTACCTTGGTTCTGGAGTGTAGTGTGTTAGAAAAGGGGTTGCTCATTGATATGTGAACTGGTGGACAACTTTTCCCACCTTGTTAGTCAGTTCTTGATGCCAGTAATAGTTTCTCCTGGACCTAAGTTCTCATTCCTTTTTCCCTGTCCATACTTCCTCCACAAACTTAGGTGTTATAAATAATTTTCTTCCTTTATTTCTTTGTTTTTCTCCCCCCCCAACCTGTTTTCTGTTAATAGGGATATTTGCTTGAACCCAGGATCTCTGAACTTACACCCCACTCATCTCCTGAAGTCCCAGTTAGTTCTGGAGGAGGTGGATGATGTCTTAAAAGGTTTATGAGTCCAAGTGAGGGAACAAGAGGAGAGAACCAAGGTAGAATATTCCACCAAGCTCTGCTGCCTCAGAGATTTGTGTGGAGAAAGTGGCCAATGGCCTCATCACTTCATGATACATCACCTCGTCTCTTCAGTTCCGCTTTTCTCCACAGCCCAAGATCATCTTGGTTTTTGTTGTTGATTATGGTTGGAGACTACTTCCTTTGACTTGAGACCCAGAATATCTGAATTTGTGGTTGGATTTTGCTTATTTTCAATTGTAACTGTTTTAACTGAGAAACATTTTTTGTCTGGGCTAATAGCTTTTGTATTGGGAAGCTGTTTGGTAAAATAACAAAGTCAGCCCTGGTTGCAAAGTTGTAAAAACTGTTTCCAAGAAAACAGATTTTGTTACAATTGATTTTTTTCCTGCATTTATATTATATTTGAATGTGACCCTTCTTACCACATAGAAGGAAACCTTTGAGATAAGTGCCTTAAAAATAAAGCCTTGGGTCTCCTTAGGTACAGTATAATGTAAGGCCCAAACATAACAGTTACATTAGAATTAAAATGGTATGGCTGGTGCTAGAAAAATGCTTACTGAATTGAATAATTGAAAAATAGTAATTCTTTAAAATGCAGCAGTTTCCCTCTTAATAATTACTTGTGCTTGCTTCCTTTACAGTTTGTTTCTAATTGATAAGTAGAAAAGATGAAAAATATGCCTATGTAGTTATGAACTTAAGATGTATGTCTGTGGACTTACAAATTAATATGTACAACCATGACAAAACAACATGATTAATAGTAATTATAATCTCTCTCTCTCTCTCTCTGGACATCACTAGTGGTTGACCTAGAGGAGATGAACTATGATTTACTTGAGTCAGAGGTTCAATTTTGAGCAAACTTTTCAGCCAAAGCAGTTCATCCCCCAACTTTCTAACTTATTTAAATTGAAGTAGAGTGGATAAGGTTAATTGCAATTAACTTTACTCTCTGCTGTGCATGTATAACATATGAGAGTGTTGCTTCCAAAGAGAATACAAAAGACTGCATAATTTAAAACTTTATTTTAAAAAATAAATTTGATTACTCTGTGATGTATTTTAAACAATAAAAAGACTTTGCTCTTAGACTAAAGTTGTTTGAATCTTAACTAATTTTAGTAACTCGGCTAGTAAAATAGATCAGTCCCACATAGTACTTAGATAATACTCTTAGGAAATACTCTTAAAGCACTGCATTTGAAATTGGAATTTAATGATTAGTGTTTTATGGTAAAGTCAGAAAAATGGATGAGTGAAAATTAGAACTAATACTAATTGTGAAGTTCCTTTTCCTCTGGTGATGAATCCTAAGTGGGGAGATACTTTATAGTTACAGAGATTCTGTTACATCAGACAGGCTCCCTGAAGGATCCTAAACAAAATGTTCTTTTACAGTTAGTTTCTTACCTCACCACTCAAAGAGTGCTAAATAGTCTTTTGTGAATCCTATCATTTTATGGCTGTAGTCAGAAATACTGAGAAAGTTAAGGCAAATCGGGTAAGATTCGCAACATGACATCAGATGTGTTTAAAGTCTCAGCCCAGCTACTTACTAGATGTGCAATCCTGGGCAGACTGTTTGGCCTCTGTAAGCCTGCTTCCTCCATCTGTAAAACTGAGGAGAAGGATTAATAGTTTCAACCTTACAATGTAAAAATCAAGTGAAATGAAGCATGTAACACACTAGCACATTTTCTTCCCCCGAGAAAGTGCATGACAAATTAGCCATTAGTGATATTATTGCTGCTGCTGAAGATAACAGGTAAGGTTAGTTAGCAACCAGGTCCTCAGACTTTGTTATATTAATAAAATTATCTTAAAGACTTTGGACCTTGGATGCTGCTGCTTTTGTGTGCCTAGAGTATTTAGGTGAATTTCTCTTGATGGATACCAGTATTTGAAGGGAGGTGAGTGCTCCTTCCTTCTTCCCTCCTTCCCTTCCCGCCTTCCTTCCTGCCTTCTTGCCTGCCTTCCCTCCCTCCCTACTTTCCTTTTGTCCTTCTTTCTTTCCTTCCTTCCTCATGCTTCCCTCCCAAACCTTCACCTTTTAATTCTTCTCATAAAAATACGAGGAACATTACAGAGAGCTAAATACAGTTAGGACAAAGATGTGTCAACAGTTGCTTCCACCTTCAAGGAGATGGAAATGAGTCTGAAGAGAAAACTGGAAACCAATTTCTAATTACCATTGGGGCCAGAGATCTAGGTAATTTCTAATTACCATGCACAGCAGAGAGATCTAGGAATTTAGAGGCCATAAGATTGTGTTGCAGAAGATCACTGGGCAGGATAGGGATTAGCAGACTAGAACAGGAAAAGAATACACTGTAAGAAATACAATAGTGGGTACAGTAGATGTCTGTTTTTTGGACTGCCCAGAATCTTCCATTCTCTCTACAGAAAGCAGCACCTCAACTTTCCATTGAGAAACTACCTAAACCCAGTCCTGGTGGAACTGACAGGCTGCCATGCCCTATCCAGGTCAAGAGGTGAACACATTAGCCAAGTGAGGACATTCAGAGAATTTTTGCTGGAAATTTGAATTTTGAGCAGAGCGAGCCAAGAAGGGAGCATGGTATTTATGCTCAAGACTCTCCCTCTGCAGAGACTGCCAGTGAATTCCTGCTCCCTTGCTACCCTGGGCCATCTGGGTACTGTCCTCACTGAGTTTGGGACTCCTTTTTTTTTTCCTATTGACTCTATGAGCCACCCCATATTATTCTAATAAATTCCCTTTTTGCCCTAGTTTAGCCAGAATCAGTTCTGCTTTATTTAACCAAAGAACCCTAAATGGTAATTTGAACAAAGGCTTAGAGCAGGAAAAAAATGAGATGCATTTAGGTAGTAATGAATAGTCCACTTGATTGGCATGTGCAGTCTGGAGAGCTAGTGTGCACTTTACTGGAAATAAATTTATTGGAAAAGTTGCTTGAATCTGGAATGTGGAGGACCTTGACTACTAGGCTCAAGTGATCCAGTCAAAGCCACATTATAGAAAGATTAAATGAGGGAGAGAGGCAGGCCTGGAGACAGAGAACGCACAGTGGTTGGTAGTAATGCTTTCGTAAATACTTGTGTTTACATTATTTAATCAATTTACCACCATTTTTCAAGAACTGATTATATTTGAGGCTCAGTGCTTGATTTTAGAACTATGAAGATAATTAAGACATGGTTCTTGTCTTTCCAGAGACCCCAAGCTAGAAGAGAAATCAGACCTGTGAGTGTGAGATAGGATTATGTAAGAGTTGTGTTTTCTGTAAGAGAGCAGTTAACTCTTCTGTTGGGTTAGGAAAGCTTCAAAGAAGTAGTGATTTCTGAAGAACTTTGAGTAGCAGTTTGCCAGGTGGTCATAGTGGAGATGGGCATAAGCCTTGGGATTAAAGATCTGGGGTCCTGAAAATATTTTGGGATTTGAGATAAAGATTTGGGATCATAACTTATATGACAGTTAAAAAGTGGGAGCAGATGAAATTGCCTGGGGACGTACAAGCAATAGTTAGAAGAAAAGCAAGGCCTGAACTTCAAGGACCACTAACAGTTGAAGGATGAGCTGGAGAGGATACCAGCAGAGGACACTAAGACAGGAGTGAGCCGTAAGGAGAATCACCAAGTCAGGGTGTGGTGGAAGCCAGGAGAAGAGAAAGTGACAGGGTGGGAGGAACAGAGTGTCAGATGCCACAAGACTGAGTAAAAGTAGGACCAAAAAAGTCCATTAGTTTGGACAAAGGAAAGGTCATTAGTTTTAGTGAAAGTTACTTCAGTGGAATGGTGGGAGTGGGGGCAAGATTCTAAGCAGGAAACGAAGAGCAGAGGAAGAGAAGAGTGACCGGATAGAGAAGAGAAATAGTAGTGAAGAGGAATACAGATTAAGGGAGCTTCTTTCATTTGTTAATGAGAAAAACTGGTGCAGAGTAGTCCTGGATGTACAGTGCATGGACTTTCCTTGCAACTGAGTGCCTTAAAGGAAACAAGATCTTCCTTCTGATAGGAAAATACATAGTCTCACTCTTGGTCCAAGAATAGCTTGTTTTATGTCATATTCTGCTCTATCACAAAAATATGATGTGGTTCTACTATAATTTGTGGAGGTGTTAGATGGTTTGACATGTACCAGAACAAATAAATTTGGGGTCATGTATTACATTTTTAATCTGGTCATATGTAGGTTTAACTGTTTCAAAGAGAGAAAATCAAGCTGAATTTTAAATACCAAATGTGTGTTTTTCTTAGGGAGAAATATTTAGAGTACACACAAAACACCTTATGTGACAGCAACGCCCCCTGCACCCCACCCCACACCCCGCCACACACACCGTCGCTCAGTTTTGGAGGATCAATGGGAAGGGGTTGGGGTTAGCAGAACCTAATTATAATTCTAGTAAAATAATAACTTCTAAAAATTTCCCACTTGGTGTTGACTATCCTTCCAAAGGACTACTCAGCTAGTAGGTATTGTGCCCATTTCAAGCTTCATGACTTTTCTATCTGCTGTTTCAGTCAGTCAGTTGGTAATCATTCAGTTCCATGCCAGAGAAACCCAACTTTAAATAAAGAAAAAGAAATTTGTTGGTTCAAGAAACCAAACCATGATAAATTCAAGCAAAACCTGTTTCAGAGTTATCTGGAACCAGAAACTAATTAACTAAGTTAATCTGTCTAACCTAATCTTTTTATCTATCTATCTATCTATCTATCTATCTATCTATCTATCTATCTATCTATCTATCTATCTATCTATCTATCATCTATCATAGCTTTGTTTCTTTCTAAATGTAGGCTTTATTCTCAACTACTGCAAGTTGGCTTACTCCTTGTAGCTAGAAGAATAGATGCTGACAGCTTCTAGACTCATGTTCTACTAACTACCAAGAGAGAGGAGAAAATTTATCATTGCTCCAGGACTTTGATTGCTCTGTTTGGATCATATGCCCACTCCCACCCCCCAGACCAATGTGGCCAGAAGGATTGAAGTACTAAGACTGGTCCAGTGAGGATGAGAAGCCCATCCTTTGCCAAGTCACTGTGACCAGAGAGGCAGGGTCATATGAGATGGCTTCTCCCAATTGACCTGCCTGGGGAAGAGGAGAGCCTCAAAAGAATGGGAGTTAATTGCATGAGAGGAGAAGGATGCTGGATAGACAAAACTGTACATGTTCAATATACTTGGTTAGCACAAAACTTATGTGCTGCCGTCTGTGAATAAATATGCTGACTAATTTGGAATGGGTGTAGGAGTTGTTTTCTGAAAATATCTGCTAGGACAGGTCTCTCCCAGAAAAGAGAATTACAGTTGGGTTGTAACTTGATGATGGTACTTTGAATAAACCACATAAAGAGAATCAGCACTTCACCATTTAATAGTAATGTCACTTGCATCGGCTTATTTGTACCAAAAATAATCCAGCAGATATTTAAAATTTTCATTTTAGAGGGTACAAATTGAGTCTCAGAAAAAGCTCTCACCCAGGATCCCAAACAGCAAGTGGGTAGTAACTTTGGGTTTAGAATCAGTAATCCTGACTTCAAATATTTCTTCCATTATACCCAGTTTGTAAAGAAAATAGTTTCTTTTAAATAGAAGAATTGTAAGGTCTTGCCCATTTTGGGGAATCATTTTTACTTGTGACTTTTAAATTATGTTCATGAATCAGTTCATAAATCATGACTTCAGATTTCTCATGCCACCAGTAAATCTGCTATTTGGCCCATTCTCTTCTACAGAACAAAATAATTTTTGGTCTCTCTCAAAAATGTTATTGTACCTCTTAATAATTAGTTACTGCATGGGATCATATATTTACAGATAGCCTAGAATCAGTGGCCTAAAATGGTTCCTAACTCACCAAATAATGGTACAGTCATTTGCCTGATAGGGTAGTTCTCTACTCTCACCGGAAAGGACAAAGGCATATAAAAACAATAGTTTTAAATACTAAATTTATTTGTATCTTTAGCAACTCCTTGATATTGTTTTTTGTTTCAGATGAGAAGAAGCAGATGGTTGCAAATGTGGAGAAACAGCTCGAAGAAGCGAAGGAGCTGGTATGTATAGACTTGGTAATATATTTTAACACATAACCAGAATCATTTAAGTGATGCCTTCCTCTAGCCTGTTTTATATGTTGTGAAAATGTGAAACATTACCAATTAGCATTTATAGTTTGGAATTCATCAGTTTTTAAATTGAAAAGAATTTAATAGCTTCTTGATATTTTGTTCTTAATAAAGGTGATTCATGGTCCATCTGTAACTTTTATTTCTTCATAATTCTTTTCATAATAGCTATAAATAGCTAAAGCTTGTTCAAGATATACTGGGTAGAGACACTGAGTTAAGCATATCACTTGCTTTATAATATTTAATTTTTGCAACAACCATGTGAGGTTTGTCAGAAACTGATAAGGATCTGAGATTTCCCCCTATTTGATCACTAAGAGTGAGCTTGCCACAGTTTCATGGATGCTGAGAGAAGACAGGAGATTCGTAGGTCAAAGACAAAAGACTTTTATTACTCATAGTAAAAGCAGCTGCCAGAATTTCAGCATGCTTGCATTAATTCCTTGGGCCCCAGTTCCCACAGGGGTAATGCAGGTTTGCCTAGAAGAATGCCTACAAATAGAATAACTTACAGGACAGGAACATGGAACCTGGGAAATGTACTGCTTTATAGCAACCTTTAAGCAAGCCCACTCACTCATTGTTCCAGATGAATAAATTATTTCCTTTTCTAAGATTGCTCCCTGCAAACACAGCCCTTAGAGATAGCCCAGGAAAAGAGTGGTCAGGGCTTGCACACTTGGCATGCCCAGCAAAACATGTAAGAGCGTGAGAGACCTATGGAGAAGTGATTCTCAACACTGTTATCACCCCCATTTTGTAGATGGGGAAACTGAGGCTTAGGAAGATTAAGTCTCTTGTCTGAGATCCCACACCCAGTAAGTGGTGGAGTAAGGGTTTGTATTTAGATATGCTAAACCCAGGGCTCTAGCTCATCCACTACTTTTCAATATGAATAAATTTGTAAATCACAGAGCGAAAATTATCATGTCCCAGTTTTTGTTTTTAAAGCCAAGTATTGCAAGTATGATTCAAGTTGTTACTGCACTTTGGTCCTAAGTGCTTTTCTTTTGATATTCCTACTTACTGATATACTTAGAACAGTTTCCCATAGTGTGTTTGTTAACTGCTGTTATCTGTTCAAATAAGTTTGGGAAAGTAGCTTAATTAGAACTGGGGGTTTGGGTCTGTTTCGGTTGGTGTTTTTCTACAAAACTTTCTTGGACCCTTAAGTAAGCTAAGTGGTGTTTGAATCTGAGAAGAGACTCTAAGAGGGCAAGGAGAGAATGGAGCATTCCCAGACTTACTTGACCGAGTAACACTTGTTAAACAGGACTATATGCGAGGGCTGTTGCTTTGTTGGGAGGGTCTGAAGAAATGCGTGGCTTTTGTTCCCCACTGCACAGCTGGCATTTCCGATGTCTTCTTCGAGGGCTTGAGCATCGAGTTGCAGAACTGCTGCTTTGTTTTCTCTGTCACTGGTTCTTTTCTAGCTGCCAGAACGTCTGACCCTCTCCATACCCCGAAAGATCTCCCCTCATCTCTGCTGGCTGCCGTCACTGTCTCCACATGGCAGCTTTGCTTACAACTCCTCAGCTTCTAATGTTTGCCTCTCTTTTGGAAGTTTTTTCCTGTTTTGCTTTTCCAAATGCTTTTCTTCTTTCTTTTCTTTTTATAATTAACTATTTCTCTCTTGCTTCCCAGCCTTCACGTAACAATGCTGACCTTTGCATCTCAGAGCTGCCAATCAGGACGTTTCTTCCTTCTGGCTGGCAGGCTCACTATAAATAGTGCAGCTGGTTGATTCTTGGGATCTTGAGTTGACTTCTTATATTGTCGTTGAGTTCTCAGCAGCAGTTTTTCCACCAAAATCTGTGTTTTGGTTTATTTGTTTACCTCCTTTTGGAGACATGGATTTACTCAATGATGTTAGAAAGCTGGTTTCCTGATAACCAAGGCTTTACTGTACCAAGAAGTATAAAATACATTTATGCCATTATGGAGCTTATAGGCATCTTTAGCTTTTACCAATGTAGAGTTTTGTCTGAGACATGTGTTTCAATTTTTCAAAGATGGTTAAATAGCTGAGTTAATTCTGATGACATCCTTGTTAACATTGTTCATTATATTACATATATGTCCTTTACATACATGTCCTTTTGACAAGAACCCTGGGAGAAAAACTTCTTTTTGATTTTACTTATTAGGATTAATTGTGTTTCTGCTAAACCATTGATTTGTACCAATCTCTTGGACACGCATGTCTTGTAATTATCATATCTTCCACTTTACATTGGCCACGTGAGTGTAGTGATAACATAAAACAAATGCATATTAGCCTTATTTCTGGTTTCATTTTGAGTGCTTGTGTGTTTCCTTTTTCTCTTTCTTATCTTCTTTTAATTTAGCTTTAAGTCTCCTTGTAAAGTGCCTTAAACAAAAATGTTAAAAATTTCAGATTTTCACTGAGATGTACTTTTGCAGTTATTTATCTGGATGATCCCACTTACTTTGTTAGAACTAAGTACTTAATGGTGATTTCAGAGAAGTACTTTAAATAACTGCCTTGCCAAGTAACTATTTAATTTATTGCTGCTTCATATTTATGTTGAGAAATGTCAATAATTTAAATGGTCACTGCTTCAATCAAGGCTAATTAAAATTATCTTTTTAATTATAAAAATTAAATACTGTGAATTGAAACATAGTTTTGTGTTTTATCTGAGTTCTGTTATCCATATTCAGTCTCACACTGAAAAAAGTTTTATTAGTGCTAAGTTTATAGTGTTCAAGGAAATAACTTATTAGAATGCTTTAAAAGGTAAACTACATAGCAACATTTATGGATGTGAATTTATTAAACATGGCCTGAGCCAACTTATAGTTTTTGTTTTTTTATTGCCCAAAATAAATAAGCTACCTCTGATTCCTTGTCTCAACGCTTGCTGTATTTCTTTTTTATAGGTAATTATCACTACTGTTGTTAACATTAATCTATTGATTACCAAGTAAGAGACACTGTTCTAAGCACATTATAGGAATTACCCCATTGAATCTTTACAGCTGCCCTACAGAAGACATACTATTTTTAGAAATGAGAAAAGTAAGGCCCAGAAAAGGTAAAAAACCTGTCCAAGGTTGCATGACTAGTAGTAGCGAAGCCTACAATGTGAACACAGGGTTTGACTGTGTTCTTAACCACCGCAGAATTTCTGTATTGCCGTCCATTAAATGCCCGTGTATTACATCCAAAGCATTACAAAGTTAGAGGTTGTTAAAAAGTGCCGAGCTGTGATTTCATTGAGCTTTGTATAATTTAGCATATTACTGTATCCGTTTAACTCCATGTAGCATGGTCATAAGGTATAAGGAGTTAAACTGAAGGTCAAGATCACATGTTGGCTGTGATTTTCCTAATCAGAAGACACTTTCCAGAAGAATTTTTACCAGGTGACTAAAGCTGGGCTGACATGTCATAGATTAGTGGTAGAAATAGTGGTTTGGTTGATCTTCCCATAGTTCTGGTGGTTTGGGGTCAGAAGACCAGAACAGGTTGGACTAAATGACAGGTTATTCCAAGGATATTGAAATCTTTATTACTGAGGGTGTTTGTATTAATGCACATGTTTTAAAATAAATTCTTGATAAACTAAGCTCTTTGATACCCTCTGTCACTTGGCAAGCACTTATAACTATTTGTGGACCTAAACAGAAATGAGCACTAAAGGCATCCCAATGTTAATTTGGCCATGGGCAGTTAGCTCCCTGTCCTAGTGCATTAAGTGTGAAATGAAGAATTGGAATTAAATCCTTTCAGCTCTAAATGTCTGTTCAAATAAAGTATAAGCATATGGTTTAAATCATGGTTTTTGTTCACCCTTCTAGCTTGAACAGATGGACTTGGAAGTCCGAGAGATACCGCCCCAAAGTCGAGGAATGTACAGCAGCAGAATGAGAAGCTACAAGCAAGAAATGGGAAAACTTGAAACAGATTTTGTGAGTCAAATTCCATCTTTAGTCATATTTACTGATCTTCAAATGAATTTTCTGCTGTGGTTTTTTAATTCTGTCCTCCATGTGCCTCAGTCAGCATTGTGATTAGTCTTCAGGAACTTGTACAAAAGTCAAGCAATAGCTCTCATTGTTTATGACTTGGGAGCCTAATAATGCTTATAGATTAGCTAGTGGTGGAATTGAAGGTGTGCTGGATTCTTGATTCACAAATAAACTCAAATCAGTGGTTCTTTGGGTTTAGATGGTATTTATTAGAATTTGAAACCTAATTTTGAGCCTTTGAGAGTTTATACCCTTTAAGATGCAGTGTTCATGAATGGACCTTAGGGGCTCTTGAATGTCCTATAATTATATTGGTATTTTTGTATGTATGTTTCCATGTACATTTTTTCCTGGGCTAAGCTCCCTAGACATCATTAGAGTTTTAAAAGGACACATTATGCTCCTCTCCACAGAAAGACAAAAGAACTCAACCAATAATTTATAAAAGTGATCCTTTCTCAGTGACTGTGAACGGGGACATGGGGGGGACTTGGTGAAGGGGGGAGCCTAGTAAACATAATGTCCTTCATGTAATTATAGATTAATGATACCAAAATAAAATTTTTTTAAAAAAGTGATCCTTTCTATCAATTGTCCCATGGGAGTATTTAGCTTCTTCTTCCTATAAATCTGAATTTCAGCTCTACCCACTTTATAACAAATTTAAGAATGTAAACTTGAAGGTATAATGTTAAGTTTGTCAATAATTAGAATGTAATAGGAGTAGAAAGATGCAGCTGAGCAGTTCTTCTTCTGGATATATATCTAAAAGAATTGAAAACAGGAGGATCTCAAAGAGATATTTCTTTAACCATATTGATAGCAGCTTTACTCAGAATACCAAAAGACAGAAGCAACCCGTGTCCGCTGACAGATGAATGGATAAACAAAATGCAGTGTATGCATACATGGGAATATTATTCAGCCTTAAAAGTGAAAGAAATTCTGGCAAATTTTATGACATGCCTGAACCCTGAGACTATAATGCTAGGTGAAATAAGCCAGTCACAAAAGACAAATACTATATGAGTCCATTTACATGAGGTATCTAGAACAGTTATAGAGGCCGAAGTATAGTGATGGTTACCAGGGCTGGAGGGAGGGGGAATGGGCAGTTACTGTTAAATTGTTAAAAGGATACAGAGTTTCAGTTTTTGCAAGATAAAAAGTAGAGATTGGTTGCTCAACAGTGTGCATATATTTAACATTATTGAACTGTGCACTTAAAAGTGGTCAAGATGGTGAATTTTATGTTAGGTGTATTTTACCACAATTAAAATTTAGAAGGAAAAAAAGATGAGGAAAAATCTTAGCTGTGAGATTCAGCAGTCATGGGTTGGCATGTAAATGAACTGTATTTCTGACCCTGGGGCCCAAATTCATAGAGTCAACAATTTATAGGGATCTCTCTGCCTCTGTTCCTGCCTTAGGTATTTTACTTTTAGAGGGTACACCTTCTAGACTACAATACACCTTTCCACCACAAGGCCAATGGTACTGGACCTGGTAGAAATTCCACCTAGTCAGGAAATTAGGTGATTTGCAGTTATGCAGGTTTATTTTATATTTTAATGGATATTTTCTTGAGATTTTCAAGATGGGCTACATCAGTGACTCTGATGTAATTGCCTTTAAATTGTGTTCATATTAACTAAAAAAAATTGGAATCCCCGATAGGCCTAAATTCAGAAAAGAATGTAACTACTTGGCTTCTGTGCTCTGTACTAGATACAACCTCTAACAGCTCTGTGACAGGTAGGTTCTCTCAGCAAAATTATGAGATATGGTGAGGAAATTTATTTATGAATTTGACAGCTCAAATTTATACTTAGACAATTCTAATATAAGTTAATGTTTCAATATAAATGATGAAGTAAAATAAAACACTTATAAGGATTATTTCAGTTGGCTTATCTCATCTTTATGAAACTCTTTTTCCAAGGGTCACTCAATACTTTTTTCTTTGACCCCACTGTCTACTTTGTTTCTTGGTCCCCCCTCCTCTGCCTCTCCCTTAGATACCCAGATTCTTCTGGTTTCTTCTCCACTTACTCCACTGTCTTACTGTGTGTGTGGTCGTCCAATCTGTGGCTTTAATGGCTGCATCTATTCTAACCTGCATTTCTAACCTGACCTCTCTGTAGCTCTATATTCATATTTCTTACTGGACACTTCTACCCCAGAATTACTTAAACACCAACACTTAGATTTGACAAGTAGTGGTCACTTCAGAGTCATCTTTTTCCCTCTCTATCACCTTGCAAACCCAGCTGGTCACTGAGAATGAACAATCCTGTCACTTAAATATCTCCTGCTTTTTTCTCCACTGCTGGAAGCCTTCCTGTTTCTCAGTTTGGATGTTTATAGTCACTTTTCCTCCTCCTGTTCTTCCCCCACTCTAGACCACCCTTCATACCACTCCAGAATTGTCTTTCTAATGCACTGATCTACATATGCCACACTGTTCCACAAAGTGCTACAGTGCCTGCATCGCCTACTAAATAAAATCCAGGTCAACTTGTAGGCTTTCTATTGCTCCTTCACATGTCTAGCGATTTTATTGTAGTATGCTTGATACTGTGGACAATACATTGTTAAAAGCCCAGATTTTGTTAGTTTCCTTGAAAGCAGTACATCACAGTGTTTTTTTTTGTTCTCACTCCTCTAAGGAACCCGTTTAGACATTTTTTTTTCCTAATTGCCCCTTTCTTGCTCTCTTCCTCAAGGATTTTTAATACCACAGATATACTGTATATCTATACATCTGTCCATGTACTGTGGCCCTTTGTAGGCCCACAGGTCTTTGTAATACCTAAGACTCTTCATCCTCCTAAGAACCAATTTTTGCCTCCATGGACATGGTATCACTTCTTTTGACAATGTGTATTTTAAAAGATGGTGAGCTTTAGTTAAGCAAGTGGATAGTTTACTAAGCAATCAGACGGATCCTTTCAAGGCTTGTTGTTAAGCTTTGCTAGGACACGTTTACAGTAGCCCTACTTTTGAGGTGTAGCCATTCTTGAATTCCATTTGAATGACTGCAGCATTCAGTAGATGCTCTGCCCTTTGGTCAGAATTTGCCTCCCTGCTTTGGGTGACCTCCGGAATCTCCATTCCATCCATTGCTCCTCAATACCTGTTCTTTGCAGGATCTCATGGGATTTTGCCCTCTGCACAAGCAAGTTCATTTTCAGCAAAGATTTAAAGAGACCCTGTTACAGATTTCTGAAGCCCCTTCTCTATGGCTCTCTTCTCTCTGTTACCCTCCTACATTCTATCCATTTCAGCAGTCCCCACCTCCAGTGTGGGCTTGCTAAATTCAGCGACATGCTGTGCTCCATCTGGGCTCCACCCCCACGCACTGGAACCTGGAAAGTACCTACAGGCGGAGCTCCTTGGCAATTACAGGGCTCCTTTCAAGTGTTTGTCTTTTCCAAAGGATCACAGTCCTATGCTGCCTGTTGTTCAGTTTTTAAAAGCAATTGTTTCATGTATTTTGTCCATTTTTATAGTTATTTAAAAGGGAGGGTTAATTTTTATACCAATTACTCTGCCATGACTGGCATGAAAGTTCAATGTAATTTTAATGTTTATTAATCCTTAGTAAAGTAATGATAAACATCGAGAATGAAAAAATAATAGTCTACTGGTAACAATGACCTATCATAGATTTGAATTTATAACTGAATAAATACCTACTTAAAAGATTTTTAAAATTCTGGTTGTAATTTTTATGAATTTGTGTTCATAGTTGTGGGAAGTTAAGGGAAGACAACAGTCATCTTTATGTTCCCTTTTATACTGTTGCTATTCCTGATGATTCTGTTAATTTGCCTTATTCTTCTTGACTTTGGCCTCTTACTGTTCGTTTTCACCTTATAATTTCAGAGTAAGTTAGAAATATTGGGTCCAGGGGAAGTTAAATCCAATTAACTTATTTTTTAGGTGAGGAAATTGAGAATTAGGGAGACCAAATGACTTACCTTAAAGTTGATCTGTTGTTTAGATCCAGAACCAGAATCAAATAACCTAAACACAGCTTCCAGTGTTCTCCCCATGAGCCTCTGCGGGCCCCCACCCCCAACTTCACATCTCCATGAAAATCAGTTTAATAGCCCCTTTATGTATGTGAAAACAACTTTAAAAAAATTTAAAATTCATGTATTTAAGCTGTTCTTGTCATTTTTTTCTTCAATATTGGTGTGAGTTTAGCTACAGGACATGGTTATGATGTCAGGATATTCCAGGAAAATGAACCAGCTTAAAGGGGGAAAATGTAGTTGGAAATTTTTCAAGTTTAAGATTATTATTTGCAGCTTAAGAAAATAAAACCAATCAAACATAAAAACCTTAAATTTGTACAAAAAAACCCAAGTGTTGTATAATAGGTTTGACTGAGACTCAGTAAGTATTAAATTAAAGGAACAAGTAAGCGACGTGCTAGGTTAAAGATTCCAAAAGTTAGGACACGGTATGTTGAAGGCCTTGTGGTGCTAGCGCCATCTTGTGGTTGATTATATAGTTGCATATTTCTTTTTTCTTGTAACAAGGCTGAACTTCCTTAAAGATGCGCATGCACATACAGGATTTGGGGTGGATAATTAGATTGTAGTGAATGATAAAAATAGAGCTTTTTAGCCCCAGCTCAAGTTCAGTTCTATCCCAGGTCAGTAGTGCCTGAATCCTGTCCTTTTCCTGTTTGGCAGGCTATGTGATGTGATTGTTAGACCAGCTCCTAGTGCAGAGCTGTCTACATCAGAGAATGGCACTTCTATTGACAATCTCAGCAGTGAGGCTGAATGGTCCTAGAAACCCAACTACCTGCAGACTACCGGAGTTGGTCCCTTAGGTCAGGGTTCAAAGGATGTTGTGGAACAGCTTGAAGCTTTTACTGCTACTACCTGCACTCTCTCTTTTAACAGGTGAATGTACAACTTGAG